TGAATAGTAAATTAATTCATTTTCATAATGATTTAATATGATTATTAATATTAATTTTCAAAGAGTGTAAAAGAAGAATTTTACTGTAAATTAAAAAAAAAGTAAATAATTATTTTTAAAATTAATTTTTGTCTGATAACTAATTTCAGTGTCATTATACGTAAATATTCAAAAATCTAACTGACCCCGTGTTATTTATTATTTGAGATATTATTTTTAACTGAATAAGGGAATTACTACAGTAACTATTGTTTATTTATTTTTTCCATAACAAATAACCAAAATAAAGTTATAATTTTTTATTCATTGATTTTTAAATAATATTGTTTTTAATAACTTACTTGTGAAATGATCTTCGAGGTTCTTTATTAGCTTTCCATTTGCAGATGAAACAGTACTGAACCATTTTTTTAATTATTTAAAAAATAAATTTAATTTACAAATGATGGACATGCCTTAGCGATCAGAATTGTGGTACAACAAAGGAGATGGAGCGAAGTTTCAGACAATCGGATACTTTTTATTCGTTATTTAGTAATCAAATACATACGATTACTAGCAGTATTTTGTATGATCAAACGCAAACTATTCTGTATTTAAGCATTAATTCTTTATTAAATAAATAGAAGTTTGATTTACAAATATTTTTGAAAAAATAACAAAACCTGATTAACTTTTTTATAACAATTTTCGGTAATATCAGCAGAAAGTACCTTATTTCATCATTAATCCAAATCTCTTTATCTTTAAATTTAATTTTAACGGTTAAAATCGTTTGCTTAAAGGTAAAATCGTTTCTCGGATTCTCAGCTGTTTAGCCCATTTTTGACACATTTACTTGCTCTTTATTTATACCAGGAAACATTCTTAGAAATTCGTGGCAAAATATTGCCAGATGCGGCCCTTGGTCGGCTGCAAGCGGTCAAACAATTTCTTGTGTAGGTGACAAGGTTTGTAAGAAAAATGTAAAATTGCCGAGTGAATCCGAGCACATGTATCGGGTATTAAAATGTCGAGCAGATATTCTCGATGCTATTCTCTCACCACCATTTCTAACACTGTTTCTAACATTTAATTCTTCCCGGTCACCGCCAGAGATCGCATGTACCTTTTATTTCTTTAACAAAATAAAAAAATTGAAATATAATTTAACAAAAAAGTTGTTCTGATCATCAGGGTACGGTAGGAAAGGACAACCGTAGCAGAGTGAGTGTATTGTCTTTGCTTTTGTAAGTTTAAAAATAATAAACTCCGTCAGACCGTTTTTTTTTTAAACTTAAAAAATAATTGGACTGTGCAAGAGACACTTCTGTAAAGGAAAAGTAATCATAAATTAATAAATTATAACACACCACGGTACGGTTGATATTTTTGCGAATGGAGGAGGACGAATTTCCGGCGGTATCTCCTAGCGTAGATTTTAATAAGGTGAGCAATTACTATATTCATTTAATGGAGCGCAAGTTTATGAATATGAACTTTTATTTCAGATTTTACCTATTCATCAAAAACGTATTATAGCCTTTATTAATCATTTTGTTACAACAACAGTATGTTTTTTAAACAGTTTCACTGGTTCTTGCGAGTCAAAACTAATGAATGTTGAACACAAAATGCAAAGGCTGGAAAGTTCACTATTAATATTAGAATCACATGTAAGCTTTGATAATTCTGGGTTTCTGTGTTACTGCAAACACTAATTGGAGTCTTACCTAAATGTAGCTATCATCTATGAGTAGTTTAAGGCCCAAAGAAGTTACCACAGTTATTAGCTTAGAATCATCAACGCCTCTTGAATTACCTGAAGTAACAGATTGTTGTGATGAAAATAAGGAAAATATTGAAGAAAATGTGGACTATATTTCAACAGCTTCAAGTGGAAATGTCACCGAAGATCCAAAATTAGCTCATTTTATGAAAATGTTACATGTTGGAGTTCCCTTACAAGCTGTGAGAATAAAAATGCAATTAGAAGGTGTAGATCCTTCTTTGTTAGAGTAAGTATACTTTTTTTTATCTATTATAATCTCAAAAGCATTCATTTGAATATTATACAATTTCCTTGAACATGTTTGTAATCAGAATCAGTTTTATTACAACGTGTGCAAGTAGTGTTAATTTGCAATTAGAATATTTACATCAGATGGTTTATCTCACCTTTTTTTTTCTTAAGCATTTTTTAAATACTGATAAGTATTTAAATTAACGCAAATAATTCTAAATATAGCTAGTAACAAAATATATTATTCATATTACTTTGTTTTCTTAAAAAAATTTCAGCAAAGCCTTTGAATGTGCAGTGAAGGAATAATATATAATATAGTAAATAAGCACATTATTTTTATAAAAAATTTGTGGTATATAACTGTAAATAAAACATTATATTTGAAAAAAGATTTATAACCTTTCATTTATATTAATTGTACATTTTACAATAACTTAAAATTGAATCATTTGTCCTTTTCGCTTCTTGTCACCACCTAGTTCAAAATGCTTACATCTTTTAAGAGGTATTTGTTTTCGATACTTGCATTCTGTACACTCCATTCTCAATACAATTTTCTTAGTAGTTTTAGCCTTAAAAACATAGTTGGAAGGTAAATAATATTTAAGAGGTATCAAATTTTACCTTCTTTCTGAATATAGGCTTTGTTTGACCACCAAAACCTTGTTGTTTTCTGTCATAACGTCTTCTACCTTGAGATGCATGACGCTCTTTTGATTTTTTATACTGCGTTACTTTATGTAATTTGTGAACTTTGCATTTTTTGCAAAATGTTTTTCTTTGCTTGGGAACGTTCACCTGAAAATAAATGTTTTTCTTATCACTACTAACCTCACTTCTTTGTTATTTATATACATAATCATATATTTGGTTAAAGTACACCTTATATAATTCAATAATAAGCCACATATTTATATATTATAATTTAGATTTATGGATGGTTCTTTAAAAACTAGATTGTTTTGGATTACTACTTACCATATTTACGTGAATCTGCTTCTCCAACTATTGTGAAATTGATACCGCAGCTAATGCAGTAAATTAACTAAGGCGATGTTCTGCTGACACGTAAAAACCCTAACCTTAACACCCTAACGCTGCTTTCACAGGTTCATATTTTGCGGGAATTTTAAAATGAGTCATATCTATTTACTGATTATTATACCCTAGTTGATCACCACATTTTTTTATATTTTATGGAAAGATGGGTCGTGTTTAGCGTATTCATCAGTTAGTGATTTTTACAGACATTGTACCTATCACTTATTATTTAAGAGCTGACTGAGTGACTAGGGTGGTTTTAAGAATTCGTATTACTACTCGATTATTCTCTTAATTTGTAATTGTATATTGAGTCAAAACACTTCTTAAAATTAGTATCTATTTCCTTCATAGAATGATCGTTTTAAAAAATTCGTTTAGAAACGGTAAAAATTAATGTTGTTGCTGATGATATTATCGTACTGGATTATTATGTCTGAAAGAAATAGTAGCGTAACTATTGCATTTTCAGTTTAGAAAAATGATGTAAACCAATTTAGTCAATCGAAAAGATTAAATTCGAATTATTTTTACCGCCTTATTCCCCTAGCGGTAGCATATTAAAACTGAATGATTTAATCTCGATGACAGCACACAAAGAAACCCTTGTACTCTCGAACCCCTCAATTCAATGGAATTTGAAATTATTTAATTCTGTTTTGATAAGCAAATATAGTAATAATTTATTTTGAAAATATCTGTGCTCTCTGTCTATTTTATAGAAGGAAAAACATTATTTGTAGTAACAGTTTTTCTAAAAGCCGGCAGTTCGGGTATCGACGGATTTATTCGGTTTTAGCGGCGCCATCTTCATTTTTGAACGAAGCTTGCTTGAAGCCGGTCAGTAGTGTTCTTGGTGTTCGTTGGTTGCAGTTGAGGAGAAGTAACAATAATAAAACCAAATATAAACAAAATGAGTACAAAGGATAATAACGAAGTAGCTGTTGAAAAAATCGAAAACGACAGAAGTGCCACTGATGGTAAATGTGAGTTGAAAGGAACGAAGAGGGCAGCAGAAGTAAGTACAACAGTAATTACTAATTACATATTTTATGTTTAAGTGCCAGAAGTACGACATTTTGATAATTTTTATTAATTTTGCACAAGAAATAGATAGAGGTAGTTATACATTTTAATAAACGCCGTTAATTGCAACTGTAGATGTACTTCTTGTGTAGGCTTTTCTAGTTTTCGAACCTTCCGAAGTACATGTGAGATAAATCCCAAAATTTTGTTGATACTAATCAAATTAAATTAATACATCTATTATTAATATCGTTTTTCAAAAATATATAACGTTTTACGTTTATTCGTTTTTGAAAATTCTGGGAAGCAACAATAATTAATATTGAAATAAATATGGAAGCCAGGCGTTAAGCATCCCGCCACATTTATAGAAGGTACCTAGTTGGAGGCTAAATTATCAATCCAAGATGGCGAAATCAATAGCTTGCTTTTACTTTGAGGCAGTTTCGCATTTAAAAATTACTTCTTTTCGTAGGGATTTCGATTTATATTTTATTGTTTTGTGTAGTTTCAATTATTTAAAAATATTGCGGTGATTATAGATATTGGTTTAAAGGTATATGGAATTAATATTTTAAGTACGTATTTTTTTAAATAAATAAAAATAAGTTGTGTGATTCAAACATAGGCGCCTATCTAGGTAGTTTGTATTTTTTTTTTATTTGTCGTATGAACGTTGAAGGTATATACATTTTTGCCTGTGGATATGATTTTGTGTAAAATAGCAATTTTTCAGTTAATATTGTTTTGCTAGAAATGAATGGGATGTTTTTTTCAAATTGTATTTTTCTTAGATGGAGCGTCATGAATAGTATATCCATCCTTCCTCCTTGCATTTATCCTCTCGTTTTAATCGTAGTACCTACATCAGCTTAAGTTGCTTTGACCAATGAGACGGTAGTATTCTTTTCATCCTTGTTTATCTCACATCCCACTACTGTACTTATCGTTACGATTCTCTAAAATACAGACGGTCAGAAGTATTTTAACAAAATGCATTCTCCCCGTTGTTAATGTCAATACTGTATTCATGTAAACATAAACGGCTTGTTTTATGGAAAAGGGGAAAACTTAACCACTGTGCAACGATACTTTTAATAGCGTTAAAATCAATTGCACAATACATTAAACCACGTTAAAAAAAGTATTTCAAATTTTCCTTCAGAAGAATTACACGTGAATAAATAACGTGGCACTTTTAAAAAAGACAAAATGCACTTTGAGAAAATCGTCTTGAAGAAAATTTTTCCGCCCTAAAATACCTATATTAACGCGCTGCTTAAAGAAAAGTGCAATTGTATATTTATTCTTCACCTACGTAAGTGATATGAGTGTGTACGTATATGTATGGGTACCTATATGAATGATTGCATATTAATTTTGTAAGAATTCTGAAAAGATTTTTCGAGCGTTAAAATTTTTGTGTATAGGTATACCTACATCTTTCGTTATTCCATGTTATTATGCAGACATGGTTTAACCGGTCAAATTTAAAATCTGAATTCAAGACCCAAAGCAAGAAAAGTTTTCCATTAAGGTATGCCTGGAAACGCTTCGTTAAATAGTTACACCCCTCTTAATATGAACATCAAAATATGATTTTTAGTTTTTTTCTCAAATTTGTCAATAGACAAAACAATTTTGGCAGACATGTTCTATTAACAGGGATATGTTTATGGAATTTTTTTAATTATCTCCTATTACAAAGGGTGAAATTAGCAACCATTATTTATTTTTTTTACTAGTATGTTTTTGGACATAAAAGGTACCTATCCGGTCTAAAGCTTGATTTACTTAGAACAAATTATTTTATTTTTGAATAAAAAATATTCACGGCCCACAGGATTTAAAATAGGTCATGTTATTTAAAAAGACGGTAAATGCTTGACAAGCTACTGTCAAAAAATCTATTTTTCGTGGACTCAAAATAATTATTTTAATTAACTTTTTTATTTCAATATTTGAGAAAAGTAACTAACTATCTTTGGGGGGGGGGGGCACGTAACGAAGTGTCTCCGAACGTATACTTTCACAGTATGTTCCTAACTCAAATTATAAGTTTCATGAAATATCATGTATATAGCCCGAGCGTACGCGGTACCTCCAATGCGGTATGGATGTTGCCCGTAGGTTAGACAACCCAAAATGCTAAAGTGCAGAAAGCGTTGTGTGTAATACGTTTATCAATTTTTTCACATGCGCTTTATTTGCAGGTACAGTTGGTATATTGATAAGTCTATTTTCTATGACTGTCCTCTATATCTAATATAACCATTTATTTTGCATTTACTGTGTAAACTAAACAATTTTCTGATTATTTAGGTACATTTTGTTTAACGGGTTTGTGAAATTTTTGCTCGAATTAAAAAGTGTTTCAAGTTTTTCTTTGTACGAATCACATTTAGCTTAATAATAGCCCGATCTTCAATTTTTTTATCAGTGGAAAACTTATTGTTTTTATTTTTCAACGGTACTATGATTGTTTTTGTTTTTAATTTTGTATATTATTTTAATTTGAAGTTAAAATAATGAATTTACTTTTTTTTAATGTAAATTATTTAGACAAAGTCTAGTAGGTATACAATATATCTATTTTAAATTTGTAGCCTAAAATCAGTTATATCAATTAAGCTACGCCTTCATGTGAGTTTCCAATTGAAACATTTTCCAAGGAATATAGAATATTCTGGTAAATTAAACATTTCATTAGCGTGTCTGTAACAACACATAAATATTTGTTTACTAAAGAAGTATTGCGCGCGCAGTCATTTTTGCTTTTAATTGACACGATGGGTTGCATATGCATACCTTACCTGCAACACTTCGAAAGATTGAGGCTACGGTTCCGAACAGTGATAAGATGCTATTATTATTAAGTTAAAACCGTTTTAAACATTGGTTTAATTTCCAAATGGCTTACTTATGACTTAATGTTTATTTGTTTAATCACATATACGAGTCATTAACCCCTTATAATAAAGTTGAGCATTAAATTATCTATTGTAATGTTTTTATTGAAAATAAAGTTCTATTCTATATTTCCATTTATATAATGATCGAAATGATGGCTAACTAAACTTAACCAACAAATTAATCTAAACTTAGTAATAGTATTAAGCTAAATCAAAAATATAAAATACATGGTTATTTTTTCGTGTTTCTTAAGGATAAAACGGAGGAAGTGAAAAAAGCAAGGAAAGAAGAAAACGGTGCGGGGTCAGAAGGTGAGGAGTTAGAAGAAGAAGAGGAAGAGGGTGCCGAAGGTGAGGAAGAAGACGAGGAGGATGAACTTCCCGAAGGTGACGAAGAAGAATTAGAATGTGAAGGTATGTAGGCACAACTTTTATTGGGTTTATGTATATTTATTATACATAATAATGGTAGAGTTGCTGGTGTCTCACATGGTTGAGTATGTTTTATTATATAATGATAAACCGATAGAGAATTAAAAAAATAAATATATATTAACATTAAAATACATATGTGTGTTTTATATTAATTTAATATTAATAAGTAAACAATATTTTAAAATGCCGACTAATATCATAAGGTCGTCAGTCCTAAGACTGGTTGGACACGCAGCTCCCACTATTTCCTATCTAGACATTTCTCTAAAGCTAGAACAACCTACATCCTTAACTATTTGTGAACAGTAATCTAATCTACGTATACATCTACTTCTAACTTCCGTTTCTGGTCCTAATATGACACTGAGATGTCCTACCAACCTATGTCGCCTATTTTTTATTGACTTCCATAGAGTCCTCTGTTCTTCTACTTTTTCTAAAATACCTCTTCATTTTTAATCTCTATCTGTGGTATCCTTATTCGCTTGTAACACCACATTTCGAACGCTTCTACCTTTTCTTTTCCGCCGCGCTCCAAACATACACCTTTAACAATCTCTTTCGAATTTCTAAATTAACCGTTCTTGAGCCTAGAAGTGACTGGCGACTCGACCCTGTGCTATCCTCTGCTTTATTTTCTTACTACTCCTTCCGTCCTGACTTATGTGACTTCCTAGATACCTAAAATCAGCCACTTCTTCTAATTTTTCGTCTCCTATCTTTATATTCGGCTCTTTTCCTACTTTTTCTTCCCTTGCATACCAGTATTTTTGTTTTACTTTTATTTATTTCTATACAGTACCGCCTTGTCAATCCGCTTCCATTTTATTTAAAGTTATCTCTAATTCCTTTCTAGATGCTAATACTGCTATATCATTTGCAACTCTAGGCATATTAATCTTTTGCCCCGGTATATCTATCCCTACAGTTGTACTGTCTTTAATGATGTTCACCGCAACTTTGATGTATAGATTAAAAAGTAGCGGTGACAGTGACTCCCTTCCTAATATTTACTTCTCTACGTTGCAGATATAGCTCTATAACTGCCTGTTGCGCTTTATACAAACTAAGTATCACTCTTCTATAACTAACTCACCCCTACATTTTTTTACATACAAGTTTTTTCCATTACACAAGTTATTTAAATATACATATATATGTAAATGAAAGTGGACGTTGGCAGAAAGTAACATTAGTTTTCTATTTTCTTTTCAGATGACGACGAAGAGGACGTGGAAGGCGAAGAAGGGGTGGACGAGGACGAAGATGATGCATAATAGCCGCATTTCGATCTCATTGAGCAAGTGACGGACTCATTACTCAGTGTACACTAGTCCGAACTTATTTGTGGCCTCCTTTTTATCTAGTTGATTATCAGTAGTTAGTTTAAAAGATAAAGTAATAAAAAAATGTTCTTGTTTCAACGTTCACATCATCATCGTCCACCCCCAACCGGTAGCCCAATTAGGTTGCCGTAGCATATATCGTAAGCGTAAATACATACTAAACGTTAAAACAGAATCAACAATTGTCTACATTGTTTCCAATTCAAGAAGCCACACAACTACTTTCGGATTATTGTTTTTCACTGTGCGGAGACTTCATCAGGGATCGCATGACTTGTTTTTTTCGTGTTCGTGCGTTAACTGCTGTTGGGACCTGTCATTATTAATATTATTAATTATTGCAAATCGGCCATACACCGGCCGTTGTCTTAATTACTCTTAACTTATTACTACCACTATATGCAGGGCTAAACGAGCGAACGAACATAAATAAAGGCAAATGGCAGACAGGTAGTATATGTGCGTAAAACAATACATACGCATACTCCACTTTTGGTTTTCGTGTTATTCTCGAATGCCCAATAATTGTCTAGTGGTTTCATTCGCTGTAGTTCATTGTCTCTTAATTGATGTACGGTTTATGTTTTCTTTGTCTTTAACAATTTTTTTTATAAAATGCATACTCGAAACAGTATTTTGCTGATATATTGGTAATGTTTCTACCTTTTAGTGCACATTTAAGTAATGTTAATAAGTTGTGTTCGGCTGCTCGTCTGGCTCTGTCCCTACGTACCCCTCGTTTGTAAAGAAAGTCCATTTTATTATGTACTTGTAAAGTTAGATGTAAATTAGTTTAAGTTGGTGTTCAATTTTGAAAAATCGTAACTATTCTGCCAGACGCCCCTCTTATTACTCTACTATTACTACTTCTGTTTTTATTTGCCGGTTTGTTTTCTTTAGTAAGTAGTTATTTGTGTACAATTTTTATTTTAGTAAAAATAGAAATTTTTAATGTACCACAAGTGCACAATTGATCAATTAAAACTAAAACCGTGTTTGTGTCATAAATACACGGGTTTTTTTTGAATTTCTTGAAAATTTGTAGAGATAATGGCAATAATGGCGAATGTAACAGATATAGGCATTTTTTAGTCACTTTTCCTCTCTTCTTTTTTAATTTTTTTAGATTGTTTTTGAGGTGGTTGTAAATTAAATAAAGTGTTGTAGAGTATTTGATGAATAGATGTTTTCCGCAGCTGATATGATATACTACTTTGTAAACTAATAACACTCGCTATTGCCTGACCTGCAAATGTTTTCTTCTGTGTGCAGTGCAGATAGACGTTAACTGTGTCATTGGTTTACAAGAGGCTGATCAATATGCGTATCGATAATTAAAAAGTAATGCTATAATAAGTTCTGTGAACTTGAGAGGTTTTTCAGAAGTAAATCTGAAGGAATACAAACCTGAAAATTTATTTTTAATTTTGTTGCATTTGAAAAGTAACTTGCGTATATTAGGAAAGAAGCAATATACATATATATACAGTTTTCACTAGTGATAAATTTTACTAGCGACGACCTAACTTAAAAATTTGTACATTATAAAATGTACATTTCATAATTTCCAAATTAAAAAATGATATACTCCTATTCAATATTATTTCGCGTAGAAGTATTTGAAAGGGTTTTTCAAATAGAAAAAAGGGTTCGTTTTTTGAATTCTCAGATGTACTTTTGAAAAATAAATCTTATTTTATGGGATGCAGAATTTATTTTGGTATATTTTTAAAGCAGAAGCGGAATAATTTTGTTACTGAAAGTTGTGAAGATGAAGATAATACTGCAAATACTTTTAAACGGCTTTCTAGAAATCTGTTCATATCAGCGATCCATTCCATCTATTGTTTAGACAATGAATGAAACCAATTTATTCTTATTGATATCTTCTTTTTTTACTTGACAAAAAAGGCATATTCGTTTGTTTATATAAGAACTTGAACAATCCTTACGTAATTCCTTGAAACTCATGATAAATTATGGCATTTGCCTTTTGTTTAACAAGTACAAGTTCTATGATAGAAATTAGAAATAAACATCAAAATGTATATTTTAAATCATTGCTCTTGTCTAGTAACATTGTCATACTTTTTAATTACATTTCATTTTTGTCATAAACAACGTTAATGTAAATACTGTTTTTTTATTTTTGATAAAGTACAAAAACAATAAACTCTACAAATGTGGTGACATTTTATACTTTCTGCATAAAAGAAACTTTAAAAGTGATGCTCGATTGTTATTTTTTTACATAAACTTGTGAAAAATATGTTGCGATGGTAAGTAGAGATAATAAAAGTTGCAAACATACAGCCCCATATCAGTCGTTTCTAGACAAATTAGATTGTTTTGAATCTTATTAAATGGATTACTCTTGATGTATAGAAGTTATAGAAGAGTGGTTGAAGTCTAAAATCACAGCTTATCTACGCGAGTAGTTTGAGTTCACTTTTCGTTTTTGTTATATTTAAAAAAACATTGAAACTGATTAAATAAATTCCAGCCACAGTAATGAGATGACTTGCGCTTCGGGAAAAAGATAAATTAGGATTGTCTTAAGAAAAGTACGAAATCTGATTTTTGTTAGATGTTAAACAAACGGAAATATTTTGATTTTTGTAGGGAACTGCATGACCCAGAAAATTAGGATAGGCTACCAAAGTTGCTCAGATTAGGGTTATTTAGGTGCCATTAAACAATCGGTATCTTTTGCTTTGTTATGCATATGCATAGAAATAACAATACATATTGTGTGTACCTATTTAACCAATTATATGGGACATTCTTTTATAAACCGCACAGATTTGGACAAAAATTGACACATTTTCGATTTGGCTGAAATTTTGTTTACGGGTTTTATATGAAAAAAAAAGACGTTCGAGAATTTTTTTTCAATATNATAAAAAAATAAACGAAAAAATTATATGATTATTTTAGTGTTTTTTATTTATTTTTTTAAATTTGTATAAAGTTTCATGTGATAATAAATGATATTACTAGATAAGGAGTATAGAATAATTATTTCAATGACGATACGAGACACTGAAATAAGGCGTGCTATGGAATCCGCTCACCAATGTAACGTGCCGCGCCGGATGAATTAATATCTATGATTAATTTTAATCAATTAACATAAGCGGTCCTGTATCAGTAATTTTTTGACAGGTGAAAGACGTGTTTTATTTAATAAAAAAAAGGTTAAGTTACAAGAAGCGCTTTGTACATTTTTGAGATATCGATCACTTTTCCAGCTCTTGTGATTTACGTACCTGCTGAATAATTGCTCATTTACTTGTTTATAGGAATATTTCGCATTAAAGAATTATTAGAAAAAGGCAATAACTTTTCAAAAGGGTAATTTGCACAATATTATATTGGAGAAAATTGTATAATATACGAGAACGATACTTGGGTAAAAAAGATCAACATTTATTCACTAATTTATACATAATATTTTTCAACTGAATATTTTTTAAGAAACTCAAATTAAAATATGTTCATTAGACACGAAGCTTTCAACTTGATTGACTATAATCTTAATATAATAAAGACGTTAGAACGCAGCGAAGGCTAGATTTTGTGCTGATTTTTCGTCAGGCAAAAGGGTAAACAACATTGCCACCAATTTGTTCAGCTAGTTTGTGCAGTATTTTAAGTCCTGGTCAAAGAAATTCATATAACGATACTATACGTATAATTAATATATAAGAAGGTAGGGGACTCAAACAAGTTATAGTTTCAGTTATGATATATTACCCTAATAAACTGTTACATGGGAGCCGCACTAAACAGATTTCCGTAACCGTTTTAATTTTGACGTATTTTGTAAAAGAGGTTGCCTAGTTCGGAAACGAATTATTTAAATCGCTTTTATATTAATTACTAATTGATTTGTTAATAATTACACTTATTTTTGAAGGAATTACACCGCACGGAAAATAGCGATGCACTATGTGTGTTGACTATTACCACGATAAAAGGCCGATCTAGTCGTTTGAAAGACTATAACTCCTCGATTGTAAAGTAGTTGTTTATAAGAAAACTAGCGTACCTGCTGATTAGTTAATAACAACGGATAGCCCGTATGGCGTAGGTATTGCCAGCCGTCTACCACAGATAAGGGATAAGGCACGCGTTTTATTACAATGTTAGCAATTTTGAATTGGTTTACTCCCGTAGGCTATTAACAAAACGAGCTATTAAAGCGAAATTTTTGAGTAGCGTAAATATATCGGCCTTCGTCCCTATCATGAAATGAACCGATAAGGGTTCGACGTTCAAGTGTTGCTCTGTTTTGACCATGAAGGACCATGCTTTTGTCATCAAATAAAACGATGTTTCAGTTTTAGCAGTTTATTTTTGAAATATTATTTTTGTAAATTATGTATACAGTTAGGTATACAAGCCAATCTGCTATACATATATGATACAAAAGATGACTATACACCTAACTTACTTCTTTTGTTCACTCTCCCTTTTTAATGCACATTTTAAAATCAGAATTTTAACCTCTGCGTATTATCTTTTAATCTATTAATCATTTACTTAATTATGGCGTAGCATGTAATCGTTCTCTCATCTTTTTATTGTAAGAATGGTTTTTCTTTTGATTGTAATTATTTTCGGATAGTCGTTTTTAAAGAAAATGTTTCAAACTTGACCAAAAAATATAAATGGATTACAAGCATTTCTAATATTCATAACAGAAAATATTGTGTGTGGTACATGCGCACATGAATAGTACGTTAGTACGTATAACATTTGTGCCTCCTTAAATTTGTTCCTTTGGTTTAATATTCAGGCGAATATAGTATTAATAGTATTACATCTCAATCCATAGAAAATATTGTTTTCTCCTCGATAATGTATGTAACGATGTAAATTTTGCAATAAGTTTTTCTTAAATTTTTTATAATTAAAACGTGCTGAAACCACCATGAGCTGGTGATGTGTAAATACTTTATATCCTTTGCAAACCTGTAAACATGTATAATTTTTAATTAGAAGGTAAACAACATAATAAAACGGAAAAAGTTCTAACGTGACTGCAGAAGAAAATATAACATCTGCACGATAGCCGTATTTATGATAATCAATAAAAAATATATCTGCAATTATTACCGATCTGGGGTCGCTTTCTAAAATGCAGCCCTTGCAGAAACATAGGTCATTATTTACATTCGATAAAGTCCTAAAAACGAGCACACCACAAGTGATAGTGGAGACAAACTTTTTGCTTTGCTCGACTTTCCCAGAAAAAAGAAATTGCTTATTTATTATCTAATTTAACGTTACATGGTCACATTCAGACGGAATTGGGGGATCCCGCCCTTTATACTTCTCGACCCTCCGCTTACTTCCGACAGTTTTTCTAAATCTCCAGAAGTGAAAAGTTCGTTTATATTTGAACACCCCTCGTATATATACAAGGTGTCTCATTTATAATAATTACAACAAAAAAGTGTTACACAATTTTTCAATCCAGTAACAATTGAGCTCGCAAATCGTCTTTGTAAATTTGAACGTACAATTCGTTTCATTACGGGCCTGGATCTAGGCGACTAACGTCGCTCAGCTTATCTAGTGTGAATGTAACAAGTACCTACCGGGAAGAAGTCGAATGCACTTCCACCTTGTAAAAAAAAGGTAAAAGTGAAAAAGAAAAGCATTCCTTTTATAAAAAATGTCGAAATTGTCCGCCATTCGCTTCAATGCAACACTGACAGCGGCGTACCCAGTGTCTGCGAATTTTGGCCCAGATACCGGGAATATTTCGAATTATACGATAGGCTTTGGTAATGTAACTCATCACCAACTGACGGTTGAATAAGAACTCTACTAGAATGCACTATCACACTACTAATTGTCCTTATTGTAATAGTCTTTTATGAAATGACCACTGTTAAGTATAGTACATTTTATTTTATTGTATTGGCTACTCTGCTTTGTCTAGGTTTGGTAGTACTGCCCACGCGTTCTTGTGTAAGTAGGTAGTAGCTGTCGACCAAAAGTAATCGGAGTGAGACGATACAAAAGTATATTGTAATGTTTTGGATACTAATAAACTAAATCTAAATAACTTAAAGGACCATTTTATTAACATGGTAGCATGCGTGGTTGAAAAAAGTTAGTGCGGAATAATAGGCCTGAGATTTAAGGGCGTAAAAGAAAAAACAAAAAAAGTTGTTTGTGGAAAGAATTTGAAGCCGGTAAATTTCAAGATGTCGTACATAAAAATTGATGATATTACAATACCAATTTTCGATGGGTCAGATTATTCAAACTGGAAAAAGAGAATACTAAAATTTTTGGAGTTCAAGAAGTGTAAAGAAGTGGCTACAAGAGTAAGAGCAATTGGAGACGACGAGGGAGCTTGGAAAGAAGCAGACATCAAAGCAATAAACTACATTTATAGTGGTATTTCAAATAAACAGCTTGAATATATTGGAGATTTAGAGTCGTCATATGAAATTCTGAAAAAGTTCGATGCAATGTATCTAAAAGAGTCAACTGCTTTACAAATAGTCCGAAGAAGTAATTTAGAAAGCATTAAATTAAAGGATTTTTCAGATGTAACGGAATTTTTTGATAAGTTTGAAAAAGCAGTGAACGAGCTCAAAATGGCGGGCGCGACCGTTAGTGAGCAAGAAAAGTTAAGGTACATGCTGAAGGCACTACCACCAGCATACAGCCATATTGGTGATTTGATTGACGTTTTACCAGATCAGGACAGAACAGTTGAATATTTAAAAAGTAAAATTAAGTTGAAATCAGCTGAAGAAGTTAATAGTACAGAACAGATGGAAGAGAATCTTGCCAAGTCCAATGCATTTGTGTCTAATTTTCGAGGAAAATGCTTTCATTGTGGTAAATCAGGACATTTCAAAAAACATTGTCATTTATATAGTTCTAACATACAAAGAGGTCGTAGTGGTAGACATCGAAGTGTGTCAAGAGGTCGTGGGACTTATAGAGGGAGACACAGAAGTGGCAGTGGTGGCGCAAGTTACGCATCGTATCAAGGTCAAGATAGTGAAGACAGCTTTAGAGGAAATGCGTTCATTACACAAATAAATGCAGCAGAAGTAAACTGCAAAAGCGAACTTAAGAAAAATAAAATCAATTGGATTCTCGATAGCGGTTGCACAGATCATGTTGTAAATGATGATAAAATGTTTTTTGAGTCTATT